TCATTGGCATTAAGATAAAGTTGAAATTTCCTGAATACTCAAATGTCACTTATCTGGTGCATTCTCCAAAAGTCCCAATAAATCGAAAAACCTTCATGTTCTCTGTTCCACACTTTGTCCTTTTTTAATATGTTATATTTACCCAATTTGAATTCCTGCTTATTCCCTTGGACTCAATCCTGTGCATTAAACATTTTGCATTTCAGTGTCTTGCTAACTCTAAGCCACCCTTGGCTTATAGTAGGTTACTAAAATACTTAGGTAACTAATCACAATTTGTGAGCTAAATGTTGAAGATTTAGAAACATAACTAGAAAATTCCTAGGTGTAGAGGGAGAAATAAGCCTATTTCAAAACATAAATCCATGGTGATTTTTATTCACTTATTAAAGGATTTAGCAGCTAAGATTTATATTGGTATTTCATTCATATGTAGTCTTTGGAGGAATTAGTTTGGCTTCTATGGTAATTAGGAAACAAATGCTATTTTAGGTAATTGTAGAGATAAGAAAGCATCTTCCACATTGATGCAGCTTGTGTTGTCCTCAGCAGCTTTGTATTGTACCACCTGTCACTGGAGGCATGATGAATTACACCTTTTGACATCAATATCGAACCTCATTCATTACTTTCTTAGGGCCCATGGTTTATATCACATAAGACAAATGCCAAGATATCTTCAAAATGAATACAAAAATTAAAAAGAACAGCAGGGCGATGTTGGAAATCTACTTTCAAGGACTATGACAGCTCACATTACATGTGTTAAATTTTAATTCACAAAATTACTGTTACAAATCATTAACCTAATAATACTTAGAAATTGTAAGTAAACTTGATATAAGTCATATACATAATATTTAACAAGGGTTCAGAATGCAAAGTTTCTCACTTGAAAAGAATGAAAGATTTCATTACATAAATATATTAGATGCATATGTTTACACTGAATTTGAAGTAAAAAAAAAAAAATGCCCGGATTAGGTCTTTTGGTATATACATCTGATTTTATTATAATATATAAGAATACTATATTTAATATTTTAAGGACTTCTAAGTTAATGTAAATATTGCTATAATCAGAGCTTGTACTATACAATTTTAAAAACCATTTCTCATACTCCATAGCCTTTTCTTTGTATAATAATGATATAATTTTTACTTAGCTGAATATTATTTATCCCAGTACTTTTTCTACAACATCACTTCACTATAAGGAGCACAACTGCACTAAATATATGATATCCTATAACAAGTCCACTATTGTGCTCATCCCGCCCCTATTTTGATCAAAAGAGACTATGGCAATGGTGAACGGGTGGATTGGTGGTGGGAATTTTATGGAGACTACATCTGAGAGGAAAAAGCAAACATTCCAAAAAATAATGATTTAAAATATATATATAAATAAAATAATTCAATAAAATTCCACTATTATACTTAAAAATCTTTTCAAGATTTGAACACTTCACAAATCAAATTTTAATAATCCATTGTACCCAAGAATTATCAGTGTATCCTCAGCATTTAATTAGTTCGGTTATTTCTATCAGATGTTATTTCCTTTTCATTTCTTGTTTCAAGTAAAATAAATTTCAGAAAATTTGGGCCTGGTTTGAAGACTCTAGAACTAGTAGTTTTAATATATGAAACATTATACTAAGTTACATAAATAGTACATTTCTAGGGAACAAAATTATATCATAGTTTCAGCCTCACAGAATTCTAAGGAAGGTTACCCCATTGTGAGGATTACTTTAGCATGCACCCCATTTTGATGTAAATGAGTTTCTACTAATAATATAAATAATTGATCATTCAGATAAAAATCTGAAATCTCTGTTCCATATTTCCTAGTTGTGTTATTTTCAACCTTTCTACATTTATACTTTTATTGCTAATCAAAGAAAATTTGACTTTACAATAAATTTACATTTATTTTTCCTGAGTTTTGCTACTGGTGACCTATGACTAAACATGTGAAACACAATTTCTTCCCTGGCATATGTTTCAACATGAGTGGTTGCCGTACGTAAAAATGATTGGGGAAACAAAATCAATGTAGGAAAACTATATGTGGTCATAGGAGGAGTGTAAGGAATCAGGTGAAAAAAAAATCATTGTAATAAAGTATAAACTAAAATCAACAAACAACTATAAACCAGAGACATTCTATGGGGGGAGAGAAGAACAGGATCAAAACAGGGGGAGGAAGAGCATAGGGGACTGTGGTGATGGCATGTGGGTGAAGTGGTGGTGGGAAGTTCACGGGGGTTACAACTGAGAGGAACAGGCATACATTGAACAAAAATTAAGAATGTTGTAAAAAAGGAGATATGAGGTCAGAAAAGTAAGGACACTTTCTTCTTACTTTTCTTAAACACGTCTTATTTTTTTCCAGTATAGACTTTTTCACAATATCCATCTGATGGACATCTCACATGAAATATATATGGAAACACCTATGGAATATATACTAATCAATATCTGTGCATGTTTTTATCTTCTCTTTGATGGTTTTTATTTTCTGTGGATTTCACAGTAAGAATGAATCTCACATATATTTTCAGACAATGTTCTCTGCTTCCTTACTTGCTTCCTTACCCAAGCTGCTCTCAGAAGTTGTATTATAGTGAAGAACTCATGCAACAGAAAGCAGTATGTGTCTATACGTCTAAAATTAAGATTACTGAATTGTCTGTGATTGGTGATTTTATGAGCTCAGAAACCTTTATTTAATTATATATCTGATGTTAACATGATGTAAATTGCTCTACAAAATCTTTGATTATTCTAATCCAGAAGCAGAACAAAGAAAGGAAAGCTCTCTCATAGTCCTAAAATATTCTAGCGCTTGTTTAGAAATAATTAAAAGTTAAGTACATTGTACAAAATAAAAATGATGAAAATATATAAATAAAATAACTATACTTAAAATACTTTCAAGATTTCAAGTCCTCATGAAATAAATTTTATTATATATTATATAATATATACACATGCACATACACTAACTCATACAAACCCAAGTAGCTATAGAAGTACTTTTTCAAATAGACACATAATTACAACTACATACAGATAATGAATATTTCTTTTCTCTTACTTCATCTCCCTTTTACCATCCATTATTTGGAATACAGATAAGATTTTGGATACTAAGGAGTCATCTGGGTGACCACTTAAACTTAATGTTTAAATAATAATAATGAACTAAAAACTAAAATTAAATAATTCTAGTAGACTGGAAATGAATACATTATAAATGTATTTATAATTTAGATGTTTTGAACTTAAAACTTTTATGTAAAATAAAATTCAAATTCCCCTTATTCAAACAATTCAGTAAAAATAAATTCACAGAGACCTTAAATGTTCAGATTTTTAGTCTTTGCATTTGAGCTCATTCTATTGCCACTCATTAAATTCACTCCATTATAGCACATTGCCTCTTTCTTTCTTTCTTTTTTAAGGTTTATTTATTTATTCATACAGAACTGGGGTACAAGCCAGAGGTACAGGGGGCAGTGACAGGCTTCATCAGAGACAGAGTGGGAACAGAACAGGCAGATCAACAAAGTACACTGAGGGGAGCAGCTGGGGAAACAGGAAAGAGGTCTGCCGTGCCATGTGGAGCACCTCTGGGCAGGGGATCGAACTCGCACTGAAGCAGAGGCAGCCAGCTAGCAGTGCTGCGTCCAAACCCACTGCACCACCAGGGAGGGCCCACATTTCCTCCTTTTTTTTTTTTTTTCTTTTTAAGATTTATTTATTTATGCTTGCAGAACTGGGATACAGGCCAGAGGTGTGATGGGTGAGAGGATTCACCAGAGTTAATCCTCAGAGTGGGGAACAGAACAGGCAGATTGACAAAGAGCACTGCTGAGGGGAGCAGCGGGCAGGTCAGAAGAGGTCTGCCACACCATGTGGGTCAGCTCCCTGGCCAGGGATCTAACTCGTGCTGCAGTGGCTTGGGAGGGTTTCATAATGCAGTGCTTTAACCTGTTAGGCCACCAGGGAGAACCCCACATTTCCTCTCTTAAGAAGAAAATCAGCCTTGTAAAATTTCACTAATATTAAAAAAAGGCTCGATCTTTCAAGTAAGTATAAATAAATATGCATTATTAAATAGTAAAATTCCAATATGCTTTACAATTTCTATTATCATGCAGTATATAAAAGGTTAAACAGATAGTTATTAAAAGAAAAAAATCATATGATGTCATAGCATTAATTTCTCCAAACTATAAAATTTAATCTCCATACTATTAACTCACAGTATTATACATTAAAAATATCAGTGTAACCATCTTAGAGTAAAAACACTGGCTATAAATACAGTCTAACAGTGTCTTTTAAAAAGCAACTATTTTTTGGCCCTCCCTGGTGGCGTAGCAGGTTAAAGCACAGCACTAAGAAACTGCCAAAGGTGTGGCAGACCTCTCCTGACCCGCCCACTGCTCTCCTCAGCAGTGTACTTCGTCAATTTGCCTGTTCTGCTCCCCACTCTGTTTCTAGTGAAGCCTCCCACCGGCCCTGAGCCTCTGGCCTGTACCCCACTTCTGTATTACAAATAAATAAATCTTAAAAAGAAAAAAAAAAGCAACTATTTCTGAAAATTACTATAGTCACCAACCTTAAATATTGAAAGAAAACTTTGAAAATACAGAGACCGAAAGTACCATTTTATACTGCTCTCATTCTAAATTGAAGGGATACATATGAGGCTCTTCCACAAACTTAAATTCATATTAAAGAAAAAAATTGAATTATTAAAGACTGATTTTGAATATAAAATATCAGCTATTGGTCTGTATAATCCTGAGTGAGTTGTATTTTATCTTTACTCCTTAGTGAAATAACAAATGGTAATAAATCCTTTCTAATATATTCTATCAACTTGGCAGGATTTATTTATTTATTTATTTTTTTACTCATGGACCAATATAAAATATAAACAAAAGTTTTCTACCCTACTTATTAATGCATTCTTCTCTTACCTTGGTAATAGTTTCATGAAGGTTGAAAAAAGGATCGATCTCTTCAATGTTTGTTCCACGTTTGTGGAAAAAGGCCTCAGAAAGAAAACTTGGGCCCTGTGGAAAATCAGAAAAGAAGCATTTAAAACTCTTCATTGATTTTTTTTTTTCCAAATGCTTATTGAATTTTCTTTAAAGAGTCTAAGAGACTCTAAATTGTTTTAGGGTTTCTGTTGATTGCTAGACTTCATTCTATTGATCTAATTAACCAATCACAGAATATTTATAAATGAAAATAAGTAGAATTCTGTTAATTTTTGTAAATTGCTTTTATTTACAAAAAGACATTTTCTTACTCAGAAGAGAGATTTTCTTGCAGTTCCTTGTATTTCAAAAGCAGATTATATGCAAGTTAAAACACCTTTATTGACAAAGCTCGCATCTGAAACTTTTCTTCTATTTTATATATTATTTTCTATGGTGTAAGGCTGGTAGATTATATTTTTAGTAAAAGTGATTATCAACAAGAAAAGCCTAGGCATGTGGATACATGAGATTTTTTTTTTTAAGATTTATTTATTTATGTATACAGAACTGGGATACAGGCCAGAGATGCAGGCCAGAGATGCAGGGGCAGTGAGATGATTCACCAGAGACAGAGTGGGGAGCAGAACAGGCAGATCAATGAAGTACGCTGCTGAGGGGAGCAGTGGGCGGGTCAAGAGAGGTCTGTCACACCATGTGGATCACCTCCAGGGCTAGGGATCAAAATTGCATTGAAGCGGCTTCAGCTAACTTGCATTGCTGCACTGCAACCCATTGCGCCACCAGGAGGGCCCTGCATAAGATTTTAAATACTACAAAAGTAACTTCTAAACAATAAACTGTCTTTGGTAGAATTGTCCCATGGCTTTACATGTTGTATCAGACAAAACCTGCATCTTAAGATAGTCAAATAACAGACACCCAAATGAGGACATCCCAGTAGTGCAAGGGGTTAAGCCACAGCTGTCAGCAGTCACTGCAGCAGCACTTCATTCCCAGGCCAGGAAGCTGACCCACATATGGTGCAGCGGACCTCTTCTGTCTGGCCCTGCTCCACTCAATAATGTATTTCAGTAACTTTGCCTGTTCTGCTTCCCATTTGTCCCTGGTGAATCTCCTTATCCTTTGCACCTCTAACCTGCATCCCAGTTCTTATATGCATAAATGCATAATTTAAAAAAAATATATATATATATTTATATCAGATACTCTGATATTAGCTGCAGGTGTAGACAACTTTCAGGATTCAAGAAGACATGGGTTACTATTAATGCTACTATCCATTATGGTCTGAACATTTACTTTGGTCTTCCTGATTCATATACTAATTTTAGAAACTGTAAGGAAATGGTATCAGAAAGTGGGGACTCAGGGAAATTATTAGGTTTTGAGGACTCTGCTGTCATGAATACAAATAGTGTCCTAAAAGAGCTTTCTACTTCTACCATAGAGCTTTCTACTTCCTTCTACTATTTGAGAATGAAATAAGAAGTTTGTAACATGGAAAAGTACGCTCACTTAACCATATTGACCTTACACTTTCACATTCCCAACTTTGAGAAATACATTCCTGTTGTTCAGAAGCCACTAAATCTGTGATAATTATAGTATCCGCAATAGAATAAGGCACTATGTAAAACAATGCTCTTATCGTTATCAACATTACTAGTATCTGATACAATGATTGTTACTTACCACCCAATATAATTTTAACTTGGAATTTTGAAGTAATTATCTATCAGAAAACAGAAGACTGCGGCAGACAGATGGACAGAATATATCAGACAGACAAATATGATATCTTGAAGGATATCATAGGAAGAGAATCTTAACTCAGTCTATACTAAAAATGACTATATAGGGTAGGGTCTCATTGGTGGCAAAAGAGGTTAAGTCTCAGCATATGAAGTTACTGGCAGCCACTGCAGCACTGCAGTAATAGTTTATCCCTTGCCAGGGTGCTAACCCACCCACAAAGGGCACAGAAGACCTCTCCAGTCTTGCCTGCTGCTCCCCTTAGCAGAGTATTTCAGTCAGTCAATCTGCCTGTTCTGCTCCCTACTCTTCCTCTGGTGAATCCTCTCACCTTCACACCTCTGGCCTATACATCAGCTCTTGTGTGCATAAATAAATAAAATTAATCTTTTAAAAATGTCTGTAACAGTGTAATAAATGTAAGCTTAATCACATTAGAACTATGTATTAGAGTTACCCAGCAGCAGATCACAATACTTTGTAATATATCATGGTAAGATAAAAACTTAGGATGATGTAGTTGGTAGGCTTTAAAGTATAAATTTGAGAAATGAAACCAGCACATGCAATTCTCTGTATATTATTTCCATGATCCAGCATACTATCCACTCCTTATTTTGACAATACTACAATCAAATAAAGCTTTTTTTTGTTCTAGCTTTCATACATTTTTGTATAATAGGATAATGAATCACTTCTTTATTATTTATTAAAATTTATTTTATTTGTTTATTTTGCTCATTTTGTCTACCGATATAATACTAATTTCTCAGAAACTCTGCATGGTCCCAAACAAACTCCACTTTTAGTGACTTGCCTGAAAGCCATAGAACACCAGCTTAAAATACCATAGATACCCTTTCCGAATCTGCCAATTTTGAGAAATCACAAAAAAATCAGTTTGTAGGTTGAATAATTTTTGTGTTTAAGTAGAATGTGTGTTTAATACAATGTGATTAGTCTACTTACAAAAATAGGATTTTGGAGACAAATATGTATACATGGAAAAACACAGATTGTGGATCAGAGGTGTAACTGATGTGTTTACAGGCCAAAGAATGCAAAAGACTGCCAGAAAACTACCAAAAGCTGCACATGGAAAAATATTATCTGTCATAGTCCTTAGAAATAACCAAACTTGATGACATCTTGAACTGTTAAGGTAATAAATTCTGTTATTTAAGTTTATTCAATCTGTGATATTTTGTTATGTTAAGTTTAGAAAATTAATACACAGTGAAGTTGGTATCCTCCCTTACTGCAATAGTAATATTTTATGTCAGTGGGGTTTTGAATGTATTTAAGGCAGAGAATAAAGTTTACAATTTTGTTTTTCTCATATAATAATTGTATCAATATAATCATCTTATTCTCCAAAAGACTACGTATAATAGCTGAGAAACTACAATATCAATAGATCTGTTACAATGTGATATACATACACACATGCACATACATACATATAACATGTAATATGTGCAATGTATGAGTCACACATACAACATGTTATAAACTGCACATGCATGTATGTGTATGCATGTGTGTATAACACATTAATATTTGGATTGTCACATAGGAGACACTTTGTTCATGGCATTGATGTCACTAAAGGTAGTGAATATGATAATGATGATGGTGAATATGATAGTGCTAAAATTGAAATTATACAGGATACTGAAAAAAATGGAAATATTAAGATCCTATCAAGATCCTCTGAGAATCAGTGAACAGTTTATATTTATATAGATGTACTGTTCCAAATAGAAATATATTTGAATTAATTTTTATGAAACTGTGAAAGTATGAATAGATATTCTGGCATTTATTTTGATATAATAGTAAAGCTTGAAGTCCTTAAACATTTGCTTCAAGAGAAGTTTTAAATGAACTTCTTGAAATAATTTTATTAGTTAGCAAAACAAAATTTCATAAATAGTACAAAGATAAGATATCAGTCAGGCACAAATTGAATTATCCAATAAGAATATAAATTAGAAGTTAGAATTAATAAGTTTTTAAATGAATGTTTAATTTTAATTATTTAATAGCTGAAGATATTAAAATATCCATCTATGCCTTATTCTCCAAGGCAATACCTGTCCTTTTAATCCTTCACCTATCTTTTTGTATGATGTGCTTTGCTTCCGGTACCTCATTTATGTAATTATTTAAACAATAATCGGTTAGCACTATGTATCAAGTGATGCATTAAATGCAAAAATAGTATCCCTAATTTCATGGAGTTTTATTCTCATAGGATTTTGATAAATAAAGAATCAAACACCAGTGACTTTGAAAATACTGAGACCAACACCATTCTTTCCCACCTATACATGAACATAAACACTATATTTTATATATACTATTTTTATATTTTCTTACATAAAATGAATGAAAGGATTAAAAGGATGTAATGCTTTGTGAAAGTTTCCTACTTCATTTATATTAACTATCAGTGATGACTGTTTAATAATGGTTTTCATCTGTAGATGGATTGAGAGAAGTAAAGCACCATTAACCATTTTGATAGTGCTTTGTTTAGAACAATTCATTGACAGATTGAAAGGAAGCAATTCCTGAGTAAATCAAGATGAGGAAAGGTTAATAGGACTGTATGCCACTCAGAAATCATAGTGAGATTATCATAAAAGACATGACATGTATAAAGAAGGTTTATTTAGGATCTAATATAAAGTTAGGTTTCTATAGTCCTTAATCACTTCTCCTTTCTGTAACATTTAACAATATTTAACACATTTAACACACCCTCTTTTTTCACCTCTTTTGTCTGAAGTCAATGATTAGACACTTCTGTTTACATATTCATGGTATTGTCCTATCAGGATTTTCTTTATGAACTTCATTATCATTTCTAGGTGTTTACTCTTAGTCTTCTTTTCACTAATGGTTCCTAGTGGTTCTGTGACTTCAACTACTAACCTCCTATCACTAGTTCCAAAGTCTTTATGCCCTGGCCTGAAACCTGTTCTCAGTTCATTTCTTAGAGAGTCTTTGGGCACAACTTATGGTTAGCCAAACTCATGCATTCCCATCCATGTCTTTCCATTCCTTACATTGAATGATAAGTATAATCCATACATTTTGCCCAAATGCAAACTTTTATGTGATTTTTATCTGCAATTTATCTCAGTCTTTGTGCCAGAGGACTGCACTAATTTCCTTCCTAAGATGTTTAAGTAGTGTTCTACGTGTTCTTGTTAAAGTCTTAGTTCTACTGCTGGTCACATTCACCCAAACTGTGATTTCTAATCTATATAAAGCCCACACTTATTAGTATAACATTTTCTCAAACAATT